GCGCGGGGGAGAACGCGGTCGGCGGGCGGGGGATGCGAGGAGCGGAGTCTTGCGCGCCCGTGGCTCCCGCCAGCCTGGACTGGGAGGGCGGGCCAGCGCGGCTAGGTCAGGGACCTGCAGGGCCTTGGGGTAACCCGTCAGCACGTCCCCTAGACAAGGGGGTTGGCTCGGGCTTGACCCCCACCTCTCCGTCACGGGCTCTTTCTGACCTGCAAGGAACCGAGATGCTCCGCAGAACTGGGGAATGTGGGCAGGAATCCCGCGTCCGAACTTGTTAGGAGGAACGCCACGCCGAGAGGCAAGGGCATGCAGCTCTTTGACAGAAAATATGTAAAACTAGAATCAAAACAAAACGAAACAAAACATCACCTGACATTTGTCCAATATCTGGCTTCTCAGCCTTTTGGCTAAATTCAAGTGCATCTGTCTACCACTCTACAGTTTGCAAGGCACGTTCACAGGGCTCTGACCATGTTTTAAACAGATGTGTCCTGTGTGCAGGAAAGCAGTCTCAACACGTGTTGAGAGACAACGCGGAAGTGTATGTGTTCACAAACACACTTAAGCACCTACTAGGCGCTAAGCGCCAAGGCTACAGAGGCAAGACAGACCTCCTGCCCGCGAGGAGGTTGCCTCAGGTCTGGGAGAGGGGGGAAGGGCCGCCACCAAGTAACATAGAGACAGAGAAAGTACCCTTAGAACACGAGGGAAGGAGCAATTTATTGGGGTTACCACCATCGAGAAGGGGGGACATCTCATTTGGCATGTGCAGAACGCTCGAGGTTTGGGCTATTCCAGGATCAGTAGTGGAAGGGGGCCGGGCAGGGGGAATTCTGGGCAGAGGAAAGAAAGGAGACGAAGCAGAGAGGTATAAAATCGCCTCTGAAACGTTGGTTCTGGGCTGGAGGAGAGTCCCTGGAGGGAAGGACTCCACGCGCGCGGAGGGACCGAGTATGTGGCGCGGGCGAGATGTGCCCGGCAGAAACGGAGAGCGGGGACTGCGGACAGCGGTGTCTTACGGCCGCCTGACCTAAATTCCCTTATTTTTGCAGAATTCAGCTGTGGAAGCCAAACAGTCTCAAGCCCACTCCCGACACCGTGTCGGGGTACAGACCGAGCCCCGTATGGCCAGGCGCCCTCTCACTCAGCATTTTGAATCTGGAGCGAGTGATGCAAGCAGCACAGACGGCAGAGAATCTAACCGGTTCTGCCGCGGAGGGCGAGGTGCGATCTTGGCTGTGGCCCTGGTGGCGCGGCCTCCCTGGATCCTGGCCCGCCTTCTGCACCCGGCTCTTTAGCCTCCTGGCACCTCTGTGAGCCACCAACATCCTCTCCTAGATTCCCTTTTTGCTTATTTTGGCCAGAGATGATTTCTGAGGCTTGCGATTAAGAACGCTGGCTAATATGCTGTGTGAGAGATTTCTGGAGGACTATTTCCTTTCACATATGAAAAAATAAAAATAGAAAACAGGGATGAAGGAGGCACCTAAAATCTGTGGGTTCCCTATTAGATTCCAGGCACAGTCCCAGATGTTTTACAAGCGTTCTCATTTCATCCTCTTGAGGACATTCCCACCCAGAGAATTTAAGTTCTCTAAGATCAGGTAGCTAGCCAGGGGCAGAGGCAGGATTGGAACTCCAAAGCATATGCCCTTCGCACCAGAAAAGGCACATCTCGACCCAGGGGGTTTCTATGATGTCATATTGGGATTGTGCTCTGAGCGCGTGTGTGCGACAGGCCACCTGCACACAGCCCACAGAGTGTGAATAGTCTTTAGTGTCTAAGCATACATGACAACGGTATTTTGTGCAAAACTTGGACGTAAGAGCTGAGAAATGGGAAATGCACCGAGCGGAGGGGACCTGGCTGTGCACGGGAAGCAGACGGTGACCGCCCACAGGAGCGGCCGTCAGCGAGTGCTCGGAGCACGTGTCTGGGCATGCGTCAGCGAGGAGTCAGGGGACTGGGCAAGAGCTTGTCACGGGACGCCTTGTCCGCCAGCTGGGAGTTTGTTTTCTGCGTAGCACCCTGCGTGTGTCTTCAACGTCCAGAGGAACGGCGGGCTAGCCTGCCTCTTCCCGACTGGGCAGGGCCGCGGGCCACCCCTAAGGCCAGGCTAACCTGGACTAGGTTACAGTGCGTGCCCTTGCCCAGCGCACGTGTTTTGGCCGAGGTGGTGGAGGGTTAAGGGGAACTTCAAGGCCACAGTTAATGATTCTGAACGTGACGCCTCAGGGACAGAGATAGAAGGACGACGGGGTGCTGGTTATTATTGCGCTGTGTTGGTGGCAATGGCGGAGGTGACACCAGAATCCAGGTGCTCTTCCAGGTGTAGTTTTTGAACTTCTAGAATCAGAATCACATTAGAGTGTCCCCCTACAATGCAGCTCCTCCCCCCAGGCTCTACTAAAATCCCTGAGCTCGGAAACTGGGCGGGGCCCTGGAAAGCTGCATTCTAACGCCCTCCTCCAGCGTCTCTGTAGCTCTCCGATGGCTCGGAAGCACTGCCTGGTCACCTTTTTGTTTTCCTGAGAAGCTATTGAGCTGATGTTTGCGAATGAGCCTCAGATTCAGATCCGGTGAAGCTGTCCATTTATCCTGGCCAGATGGGACCGGCCCCCCAACTAGAGGTTTATCTTCACGGCCAAGGGAGAGTCTGGATCCCCAACGCTGCAACCAGAGACGGGCATGTCAGAACGCAGGCCGGGGCGGGACCCGGGAAGCCACGGTGGGGTGGGCCGGGGGAGTGGACGGACAGGCTGCTTCGTCAAAGCTGCGCATTTGCGGACAGAATTAGGATGTGGAGGAAAGAGGAGCGAACCGCCACAAGCAGACGCGCCGGTAACTGGCAGCAACCACACGGTTTTAAATATAGTGCAGCTGAGTCCTCTCTGAAGCACTGCAGGCGCCGGGCACGCACGCACAGGAATCCTGCTCACCGCGGCTCTTTCTGAAGCACACAGATAACATCACGTCTCTGCTTCTCTTCTCTGATCTCGACTTCCAGGAGGGATCTATGAGCTGGGACTTGACAACAGCACGTTTCTTTTTCCTTCTTTCTGTACCATTAAAAAAAAAGCGTTATTGACATATAATTCACATATCATACAACTCGCCCATTTAAAGTGTACGAGTCAGTGATTTGAAATATATTTAGTTTCTGTACCATTTTATTTCATTTTTATTCACTTTTTTACATTTCTTATCTAGGTTTTGTTCATTGTTTTTTTCCTTCTGCTACCTTTTAGGTTTATCTTCCCCATCTCTCATGTTTTCAAAACCACCTTCAATGAATTATAAGTTTTTTAAAACCTAAATTAAAGCAAGGGACTAAAAAGACAAACAGTACCGGAGACTCCAGGCACCTTAAACTTGTAACGGAAAATATTTCAATCCAGAAGCCTCTTCCTATTGAGGAATAAATGGTTTCATTAAGAAAATGCCTTAGAGAAAGGCAAGGCAAATGTGAAGTATATGATGCCAAAAAAATTAAAAAGCTGTTCTGCCAAGAATACTGGTAAGTGTATAATAAGTAAAAGATTGGGAGAATGTGCTGAAAATTCCACGTCCCGAAGCAGATTTTTTTAAACACAAGAGCCTGCTGTCGCAGGCTTCAGATCAAACTGCGGTGGCCCTGGGTGCTGAATTGGGTGACATCTGCTGGCCCCACCCTGAGGCCAGCCCCGGGGCAGGGGCGGCCTCTCCCTGCTTTAGCGCTCCACTAATGCTTTCCCCGCAGAGGTCCGGCCAAGGGGGACATGCAGAAAAAAGGAGCATCCAATTGTAGAACATCGTAAGATTATACTTTGAGCATGGTCTCGAGTGTGGGAAATGGATTCCAAAGGAACAGTGGAAACAAGAGGAACAATGGTTGTCGCTGGGGAGGAGTGTCGTTCATTTCTATTTTCTGCTTTATAATTGTCCACGTGCTCTAACGTTTCTGCGGTGTAGAAAAGGTTGCTGGGTGAAAGCTACAGCTGTGCCGCAATCTACTCAGCCTCTGGGACACCCCTGGAGGAAGGAGAGAGGGTGACAGGTGTTTTGTCACCTGTATCTTTAGCCGGATACAAAGGCCCCCAATGTACACCTGCTCTCATTTCATCTCAGTCGTGAGCAATTGGCCAAGTTGATTCTGAGCAGCCGAAGCCCTGGGGTCCCTACTGGCTGATAGTTCAGCCGATCATCTCTGCAGGCGGTAGATGACCCATGCACATATCTAAGCAGAAGAACAAGATCGGACCTGTGTGTCAGCCAAATCGTTCTGGCCACAGGGTGGAGGATAGATGGGTGGGAAGAGAGACAACAAGCAGAGGCCTCTTCCTCGTGGGCGCTCGTGACAAGAGCA